ATTCAATAGGAAAGCTTTATAATGAAAAGGATACACAAATTGTAACCACATATATGTATATTTTGTTTATAACAAGACAATTCTTAACAATATTTTACATTTTATGAACATTTCGCTTAATATTTTATTTATACGTGTGTATTGTGTTAAACAGGAGAGGTGCCTAAGAACCACGATATTCTACGTGAGGCCTACAGTCTTTGTTACAGACTCCCTGTTCTTAACACGCCCAAGTTCAAAGAGGACTTCTATAATGTAAGGAAGATAAACCGTGTATAAGTTATAAAAGGATAAGGTTTAGTCTTGTTTGACTTATTGCTGAAATGTTACATATACTTGTCAAGGGAAAGGGAAAATGATGGGAAAATTGTAAGTGTTTTGAAGGTTGTTGATTTTATATGACATTGTGTAGAATTTCATCAAAGGGCAGTAACTCTATTACCTTTGTCTTCTCCAGGATCAGTCTGAATGTTGATTATGTAATACAAAGAATGTTTCTGAGAAGATAAAACCTATTCATGATGTCATGAAGCTTGTCTTGATTGTTAATGTGTACAGCACTTTGTCAATTACTGTAGAATTCATATACTATGGAAAAAGTTGTCTTTTTATGTTTACATTACATAAATATGATTTCTTATAGATATACATGCCTTAATTCACAATTCTTTTATTGAGTTTTTGATATATTGTCATTAATGTATATAATCTGTTACTTATTACAGCAATGTAATGATGTTTGTTTGATGGCATACCTGGGAACAATAACAAAGGGCTGCAACACAATTAACCAGGTCAGTGTTAACTAGGTATTGTGTCATTTTCATGAAAGTCCAGAAGAAGTGAGCATATATAATTTTTTTTCCAGGTTTGATTTAAGTTAAACCATCATAGTAGCTCCGTAGGTTGAGGGCTCGCTCTGTGATTAGAAGATCTTGAGTTTGAATTTCCATGACAAACCTAAGTCAAGAAGTAATGGGAAGCAACTGCTTCTTTGCTATGCACTTGACACAATGAGGTAAAAGTTGCGGGTCATTTGGATGAGACCTTAGAAACTGAATGGCAGAAGATGCTGATAAAAATCCCTCACTGCTCAATGCCTCTGAGTGCCAGTAAAGGTCAAAATTTTAGCCCTTCACTGGGTTATGTGGTGGCTCATTATGAGTGAAAAAAATCTTGAATGGGGCCTAAAACAATATACAATTGCCATTATTGGTTCACTGTGAATGTTGTCATTTTCTGGACTATTTGTTATAAACAGACTTCGCTATATACACTGAATTTGTCAAAAAATTTTGTGTAAGTGGAGGACAGTTTCAGCCCACTCTCTTGTCCCTCTATCTACTCTACGCTTTCATCCAGAATGTGTAATACTGAATCTGTCCTTGTTTTTCAGTTTGTGAACAAGTTTAATGTGATGTACGACAGACAAGGCATGGGTCGTAGGATGCGGGGACTGTTCTTTTGAGGGCTGAGAACTAACTTAATTCATTGTTTGAGAACCAGTCCAGGCTGTGATTTTTAGATGTTCAGATTTTCGACAGGAATCTGTGTATAGTGCTCCATGAAGAATGAATGTATGATGTATGTTGTTGGAAGTGAGTCGAAAATAAATGTTGAATATGTAGTGTGTTTTTTCTGCTCTTCATCAAAGATACCTGTATTTAGAAATAACTCATTTCTTACTCTTCCAGTGGCTATGACTCAGGATGGCATAAGTCTGACATTAGACAGTTACATGCATGCACTGTTGGTTATACATGTGATTGTTTCCAATACTTACTGTGTTTTGTAATGGACAGATTTCTAAGAAAAAGAAATATTTAAAAGATAAAGTCTTGAAATTTGTCGTGGCTGTTGGTAAAATTGATCTCCCATCAAATATTTACATCCATGACAGACTGTAAAAAATATTGATTCATTGTGAGGTACTAGTATTCTTAGCAAATAATCGTCTGAACTGAGGGAAATTCCTTTAAAGGGATTGAACAAGAACAATTATTAATTGTAACATTACATATACGTACTGAAGTTTAAACAAGCAATCCGTGCAGGGGTATAGAGTATATATAGATTTTACATACCACTAATTTGCCAGACCTCCTCTCAGATTCCAATGCTTGTTTCCCTGATCAAGAAACTGGATGTTGAAATTTTTATATCAGTCAAAAACAAAAGGCATTACACAGTTGATAAGAAATACAAAACTAGGGACCATTTCAAATATAATTGCTGCTACCAAAAATGACAACTGAATGTTGAAAGTAATGGTATTCAATTAATGTAAATGTACATGTAATTATATGTTGAATTTGAACTGTGTTTAATCTTGCAATATCATAACGGAAACAAGAGGCCCAGGGGCCACAGCGCTCACCTGAGCACATTGAGCTTGAATTTAACCCCCCCCCTCCCCAGGCGTTCATTATTTGAACAAACTAGAATCTACACTACCTGAGGATTATTCCATATAAATAACACTAATCATAGTTTTGAAGTACTTGAAAAGAAGATTTTAAAAGGTTTCCCTATATATCCTTATGTAAAACTTGGGTGGGCCATTTTGGCCCCACCCTAGCCCCAGGGGTCATGTTTTGAACAATCTTGAATCTACACTACCTGAGGATGATTCCACATGAGTTTCATCTTTCCTGACCCAGTGGTTCTGGAGAAGAAGATTTTTCAAGATTTTTTCCTATATATTCCTATGTAAAACTTGGGTCGGCCATTTTGGCCCCACCCTAGTCCCAGGGGTCATCATTTGAACAAACTTGAATCTACACTACCTGAGGATGATTCCACATGAGTTTCATCTTTCCTGGCCCAGTGATTCTTGAGAAGAAGATTTTTAAAGATTTTTCCTATATATTCCTATGTAAAACTTGGGTCGGCCATTTTGGCCCCACCTTGCCCCGGGGGTCATCATTTGAACAAACTTGAATCTACATTACCTGAGGATGATTCCACATGATTTTCGTCTTTCCTGGCCCAATGGTTCTGGAGAAGAAGATTTTAAAAGATTTTTCCTATATATTCCTATGTAAAACTTGGGTCGGCCATTTTGGCCCCACCCTTGCCCCGGGGGTCATGATTTGAACAAACTTGAATCTACACTACCTGAGGATGATTCCACATGAGTTTCACCTTTCCTGGCCCAGTGGTTCTGGAGAAGAAGATTTTTAAAGATTTTTCATATATATTCCTATGTAAAACTTGGGTCGGCCATTTTGGCCCCACCCTTGCCCCGGGGGTTATGATTTGAACAAATTTGAATCTACACTACCAGAGGATGATTCCACATAAGTTTCACCTTTTCTGGCCCAGTGATTCTTGAGAAGATTTTTTAAAATGCCATTAATTTTTCTCTAATTCATAATTACCTCCCCTTGGAAAAGGGCGTGGCCCTTCATTTGAACGAACTTGATTCCCCTTCACCCAAGGATACTTTGTGCCAAGTTTGGTTAATATTGGCCCAGTGGTTCTTGAGAAGAAGATGAAAATGTGAAAAGTTTACGACGACAACGACTACGACAACGACAGACAACGGACAAATTTTGATCAGAAAAGCTCACTTGAGCCTTCGGCTCAGGTGGGCTAACAATATAATGGTTTCTGAATCGTGACAGGAATAAACAGGGTACAGTATGTAAATCAAATTTCGATACTAAAAAACATGAACTCGCAAAATTTTACCAAAATCAATAACATCAAAACTGACGTCTTTTCACCTTTAGATACAGCCATTCCCTACGCGAATTAAAGTCCAGGCTTTGTGACATCATTCTCATCTGCTTTTTCATTAAACGTGGAACTCGTAAAGAAGGTATGGGAACAAGGCGGACTGAATACCTATAGCTTCGGATATTTCGAAATCATATTCAATATGTCAATTCAGTATTTAAGTTAACTTCACATTATTAAAATTTATGAAATTATGAGGGAAAAAACTTTTCTGAAAGAAAGAATATCTCGTAAAATGAATTTCTTTTATAAAATGTAAGCTGATATTCGTGGAATTCGAATCCTAGCAATAAAAATCCGACGCATCTGCTTTGAGACTAACGCGCTAACTACTATTCTAAATGGCTTATGATGATTTTGGGCGTTTACTGTTTAAATCATGTTTGTGATATAACAGTTGACTCAATGGACTTCAAGTATTTCTCGGAAAGATGCGAATGCTTTGTCATAAAAGTGTACTTTTAAGGTATAAAGGGTCTTCGCTCGACACATTTGTTTCATACTTGGATATTTTACTTGAAAAAGACCTTAATGGTAATCTAACAACCAAGCTATATAATAAACGTGATGACTTTAACTTTTCTATCGTCAACTTCCCTTATTTATGCAGCAATATACCTTCATCACCTGCATACGGAGTATATATATCTCAGTTGATTCGAAACGCAAGAGCATGTTCTACATATGAACATTTTCTAACACGAGGTAAATTATTGACAAGCAAGTTGATGAAACAAGAATATCAGCAGTCTCGTTTAAAGTCATCATTTCGTAAGTTCTATGGTCAAAATTCATTTTGGCTCTATAGAATATTAAAAATATTTAAAACTGACATATGATTTTGAAGAATTTCTTCCTCAGAAAGGGAAGTATGAGTATAAGTATTACCACTTGTAGAATTAAATCCAAGTTCTTCTAAAATACAATTTGTATAATGATTTTTTGAGACCAGGTCTTCCGACAATCTATTGGCAGGGAATGCTTACTCTTCCATGACACCTGATCATACCTCTGATGTTTGGGGGTCCGTGTTTGCTCTGTTCCCATTTTGTATTGTTGAAGCTTAATTTTCTCATAAAATATGAAGCTAACGAACAGACTTAAAGCTCAAAATCCATTGAAACAATGCAAATAATTTACATTTCATTGCACATCTATGTGTCGTATTGAATAAATTTAAAATCCAACTTCACAGTCTTGGTGGATATCTAATATGCAGAGTAAAAATAGGTCATTCAGAAAGGCTACATCTGACAAACATGGCTGTCAGTAGTTCAACAAAATATCCACTGGGCTCTCCTCAAGAGCACATTTTAATGTGTGAATCCCATGAATTACCTATTGATGTTATTTGTGAGGACTGTGATGAATTTATTTGTGGTGATTGTGCGAAATCAAATCATAGAGATCATAACTGGAAAACTTTGACCACTGCAGCCAAGAAAAGGAGGAGAGGTCTACTTAAATTCCTGGAGAAGATAGAGGAAGAGGATCTGCCTGGGATTGAAGAGAACATAGCGAAGGCTTCAAAAAAGATTATAGAAAATAAAGAAGAATGTGACTCTGGGATTAAAAAGCTACAAAAGCATTTTGATGTGATAATGGCCAAGCTGTTAGAAATCAAAAAACGCCATGAAGAAACACTGAGAGACAATTTGGTAAAAAGAATGATCAACTGAACCTTATAAAATCTGAGCTAGAGAAGAAGAAAAAAGGAATTGTTGACACAGTGAAATTCATGGAGGAGAACAACAGCACCATGTCAGATTACAGCTTGATTGACAACCACAGAGAACTGACAAAAATGCTGCCTGAATTGGAGGTTCATATGACAAACTGTGAACTTTCAGTGAGGTTCACTAGAGGTGAAATCAATGATAACTTTCTCGAATCTTTATTTGGAAAAACTATAGATTTAGAAGACATCATTGTAAACTCATTTCAATAATCAAATAACAAAATAATTTTGTTGGAGACATTCAGAGAAGATCAATGTTACATCCAAGATAATGACTCAGAATATATAGAAAAGGTGAATCATCAAGGTGCAAAACAACAAAAATTTAGTATCGATCCTAATGTTATGTGTGTTACTGATAATGGTGATGTTTATTTCACTGATAGTTATAATGATTCCATTAGCTGTCTATCAACATCGGGATCTGTCTCTACAGTCATCAGATCAAACCCACTGATACCAATAGGAATCTGTCAGTCAGTGGACGGTGGACTACTGGTCACCTTGAGAGACTTGAAATCAGATCGCCGCAAATTAGAGTCACACAGCAGGCATCTGGTTAGACACATCACAGTGACAGGTGACGTCATCCATGAGTATGAATACCAGGAGGACGGTCAGACCAGACTGTTTACATTGCCATACAAAGTCACACAGAACAGTAACAGTGATATCTGTGTTGTGAACAGTACAAGTCTTCACACAGGAGAACTAGTGATTATGTCTTCCTCTGGTCGTATGAACTGTATCTACCGTGGACAAAACTTGACAGAGGTCTTTGATCCATTTGATGTAGTGTGTGATTCCCTCTGTAACATCCTTGTTACTGACCCGAACAACAAACATATTCATCTGCTGAGTCTTGGCGGGGAGTTTCTGAAGTTCTTACTGACAGACAATGAAGTGAGCCAACCATGCTCTTTGTCCCTATACAAGTCTACACCGTGGGTTGGATACATGGACGGACTTGTCAATGTGTTTCAATACACACTATTAAACAATTAAAATATACTTAAGATAGCATAATAGCTCTTTTTCTATGGATTGCCATTTGCATGATACAGAGTGAGTTGCCTGCCCAATTTTTTCCGAGTCAGATTACACATTTATTACATTACACAGTATTTGATTTCATGTCGGTGAAGTACAATAAGATTAAGGACAGATTATTTCTTTCCTTCTTCATTAAAAATGTCACAGAAGCAAAAACAAGAGAAAGAGAGAAAGGGGGAGAGAGAGGTAATCTAGTCCAAAACTGTAATTGGGGTGGGGGGTTATACTAGCCAAAGACAGATTATTTATTTTCTAATCCAGTCCAGGGCAGGTTATCAACATCAACATGTTCTAGGATTCCTAGTTTAATTATTTACAACTGTGAGTATTTTTTGCCGAACGAACACACCCGCCGTGTGCTCCTTGTCATGATAGGGAAATAAGGGAAAATCCGTCGTCCATTTGGTCCATAAATAATGGACTAACAATTAGTATACAAAATGCCAGTCTGTATTTGACTCAATGATAAATTATATTTGCTGTCAAAGTCTTTTTATCGACCAAAGAATTTAAGAAATGATGTCTTTAAAGAAGACTGCTGATATTCTTGTTTCATCAACTTGTTTGTCAAACTTACCTCGTTTTAGAAATTGTCCATATGTAGAGCATGTTGTTGTGTATCGAATCAACTTAGATATATGAACGCCGTATGCAGGTGATGAAGGTATATTGCTGCATAAGTAAGGAAAGTTGACGATAGAAAAGTTTTTGTGAAAAATTCAATAACAAATGAGATTATGTTAAATAATGGCTGTTGATTTTTTACGAGATACAGCGAGACACATGTCTTTTATGGACTTCTTAGCTAGTTTATGACTTATTAAGGGTATTCAATTGAAAATAAAACTTGTTTCACATTTTTTTTAACCGGGCCTCCTTAAGTGTGAGACATTGAGCCCATATTCAGCATGTTCAGTTGATAAAGGTATATTGCTACATAAACAAGAGGTCCAGGGGCCTTGAATTGCTCTTTGATAAATGTTCACTCTATCACTTCTATTCGACGCCTCTAAGTATCTTGTACATATGAATAAAGCCTTGAAAATGCAAAAGTTTTTGGTTAAAATACATTGAGAGCACAGGATAATTAACTGACAAAGTGTGATGATTGTTAGCCCCTTATTAATATCAAAAGTAGGTCATCGTAGGTTTATAAATTTGAAAAATAAGTCACTGTGACCTACTTTTCGATAAAAATGTTTTAAGGTGAAATATCCCTCTGCTCCATAATGCACCATTTTTTAAATTTCCAAACATTAATTTTCATCAACAACAAAAACATTAGATTCAAATGCAAAATACTTTGAAGTATGAAGCGTTGCTTACTTTTTCAGAAATGAATAGTATGTCAAATCATGATGTGAAGAAAATTTGACATGGTAAATAGAAAGATTAATTGTTTTTTATCTCACAATAAATTAGGAATATGAGGTAAATATGAAAATAATGTTTACTCTCATACATATTTAATTCTCATTAGAAAGCATACTGAAGCGTTGCTTTTTAAATCAGAATATCAAACTGTTTTCTGTGCTTGTTAAATAATACGCATCCAGCAAGAGTTATCTTTCCATTATCGTCCGTGAAAATATTTTTTTATGAAACAAAATATTAATTACATGTTTATGAAAAAAAATCTGCATCTGAAATTTATTTAAAAATTAAATGACTTATACGTTAAGAGAATAAATATCTTAATTTACACCTTTTAAAGAACTAAGTATAACAGTTTTAGATAAACTATTGTATATAATTAATGAAAATATTGGTAATAGAAACTAGAAAATCAAAATCTATACGATAGAACAGATTCGATGGAGTTGACTATGAAATGGTCTTTATAAATGAAATCTGAAAAATCTGACATGAAAATTCATTGAATTTAATGGAAAAATGTATTCAGAAAGTTATCTCTCTTATCAGAGGGATATTACACCTTAAGGCCCCAAGATACATCAACGTACAAGGTTTGGTGATTCTAAACCTCTCAGAATCTGAAATAATTGCTTTAAATCTTTTTGAAGGTATTAGTCTTACATTCAAAAAGATACCGGGTAGGTCAAGGTGACTTACTTTTAAGTTGAAGTTGTTTCAGGACCCTAGATGCATCAAATGACAAAGTGTGATCATTAAAGGCCTTAAAGTGTCCAAAATATGCCTCCAAATCATGATCAATTTTAAACAAATGCCCGCAAAATTCAAAAAGTAGGTCACTGTGACCTTCTTTTGAGTTACCATGATGTGAAGACCTAAGATGCGTCATCTTACAAGATTTGATGATCCTAGGCTTTATAGTAAACAAAATGTAAACGTTTTATAAGATAAAATTTTAGGTTAGTTTTGAAGTGATCTTGAGATCACGCTCTTTGCCCCAGGGTTATACCTTGAACAATTTTACATTTTTAACATATCCTCATCCTTGTATGTAAGTTGGTGATCATCTGTCCGGTGGAGAACTCCGTGATTATCACCAAAGCAAGCAAGGTAAAAATGAACAGGAATTAAACATCACTCCTAATGACGTGTTTGATTAAAGTGGTAATGTTCATTTTACTGATGGTAGAAAAAATTCCATAAACTGTCTGTCACCATCAGGATCTGATACTACAGTCATCAGTACAGATCCACTGGTACCAGGAGGAATCTGTCAGTCAGTAGAAGGAGGACTATTGGTTACTATTAAAGACAATAAATCAGATCCTTACGAATTAGAGTCACATAGCAGACGTCTGGTGAGACACATCACAGTGACAGGTGATGTCATCCATGAGTATGAGTACCAGGAAGACGGTCAGGCCAGGCTGGTTACTTTACAATACAGTGTCACACAGAACAGTAACATTGATATCTTTGTTGCAAAAAGTACATGAAACATATGGAGAAAACAAACAGTATTCAAGATCAAATGTCCATGAAATAATACAAAATAGGAGCAGAGCAAACACGGTCCTCAAAAACATTGGAGGTGGGATCACATGCCATGGACGAGTGGGCACCCCCTGCTGACCGGTCATATCCGTGCGCTCCTTGTTTGTCATGATTGGGAAATAATGAAAAATCCGTCTTTAACTCAATGTATAAGTAATGGACAAACAATTAGAATGAAAAACGTATGCAGGCGATGAAGATTTATATTGCTGCATTAGTAAGGGAAGTTGACGATAGAAGAGTTAAAGTCATCACGTTTGCCATCGTGGTTGGTTGGTACATGTATGTAGATTACTATTAATGTTTTTTTTTAATTAAATTATCCAAATATGAAACAGATGTGTCAGACTCTGTGGTATCTTTTATCTGAAGCTCACCAGGATATATCGCATCGACATAAGAATGGAAATTACCATTGTTTATTGACAATACGTCGTCGATATATCTGATGTCGAGTTGAAGGACACAGCAAGTGTTTTCTTCTTTTCCCGTTTAATATTTTGCACAAGTTCTGCTTCATATGAATACAAACTAGGTCTGCTAACAACATGGCACAATTGGTACCCATGGTGTAATGTTCGTATCTTAAAATAGTCATTCAGATTTAATGATTTAATAATTAAATTAATTTAATTTAATTTAAGATTTAATAACATGGGAATTGCAATAGATTGTTGGAAGATCTGGTCTCCCATACCTACATAGATATTGTCAATCAGAAACTCAAGCAACTTTTTGATGCCAACTTCAGAGTACTTGTGTGTGCAATCTGAATATGTTGGAAAAAAATAATTTTGCAAACGATCAATGACCGGTTAAGTAAACTTACGAGTTCCATTTTTATTGAAAAAGCAGCTGTCAATGATATAAAAAAGCCTGGTTTTTATTTAGGATGTAAAAAAAGGAATTTTATGTTACTAAGGCAACAATCTGAAGTACGTTTCTTTTCACTATCACAACGATACCAACTGCATGAGCTGGTTTGCTTCGTATTAGGAACGTCAAGAGTATGACATTTTTGCGATTTTTTAAAATTCTCATTCGTGATCTGACAGTGACATAAACATAACATTCCCGTCTGTCAGTCCTGTTTGTCGCCAATTTCGTTTTCAATAATTTTGTATGTTGTAATCATAATTTAGCTAAATCAGACTAGAAGGAACTACTGTTTTCATAATCATTGTTTTTACAAAAAGCTTAGATAATCTAGGTCAAGAAAGTATTGAAAGTATTCTGAATGACAATTTTATCGATGTGATACCTTTTTCTTGAATTTGTTCTCGTCCATTCAAAACTTCGGGGTATCAATAAATAAATGAATAAGATTGGAATTATACACAAGTAACATCTGAAAAATTGTACATTAAAGCAACCTTTTCCCCTGGTTCACTCACATTAATTATCTCCTGTTTGGTATAGCATGCACCTGTATTTTACCATTCGTTATGTATCTAGGTATTACCTATATATTTACATTTCAATTTGCCCAGCTATGTGTCGTATTCAATAAATTTAAAATCCAACTTCACAATCCCTGTTGTTATCTAATATGCAGAGGAAAACTTGGCAATTCAGGTAGGCATCACATGACAAATATGGCTGTAAGAAGTACAAAAAAAATATCCACTGGGCTCTCCTCAAGAGCACATTCTAATGTGTGAATCTCGCGATTTACCTGTTGATGTTATATGTGAGGACAGAGACGAATTCATCTGTGCCAAGTGTACTAAAACAGATCATACAGATCATGATTGGAAAATTCTACCCACGGCAGCCACCGAAAGCAGGAGGGGTCTGCTTAAATTTCTGGAGAAGATCAAGGAAGAGGATCTGCCTGGGATTGATGAGAAGATGGAAAAGATTCCACAACAAATCATAGAAAATATAGAACTGTGTGATACTGAGATTAAAAAGTTTCAGATGCATTATGATGAGATAATGGCCAGGCTAACAGAAATTAAAAAAAACGTCATGAAAAAACATTAAGAGACAATTTGGTCGAAAAGAATGGTCAACTGAACCATGTGAAATCTGAGTTGGAGAAGAAAAAGAGAGGAATTGTTGACACAGTGGAATTCATGGAGGAAAACAACAGCACCATGTCAGATTACAGCTTGATTGACAACCAAAGAGAACTGAGGAAAATGATATCTGAATTCGAGGTATATACAACAAACTGTAAACATTCAGTCAGGTTAACTCAAAGTGAAATCAATGATGGCTTACTTATGTTTTTGGTTGGAAGAACGTTGAATTTAGATGACATAGGTGCATGTGACTCAAATTAACTCATTTCAATACGGAAATAGCAAAATAATTTCCTTGGAGACATTCACCGAAGATCAATGTTACATCCAAGATATTGACTCAGAATACATAAAGTGAATCAGCAAGGCGGAAAAACACAAAAATTTAGTATCGATGCGAATGACTTCTGTTTAACTGATAATTATGATATTTATTTCACCGACTTCCTTGACAATTCCATCAGATGTCTGTCACCATCAGGATGTGTCTCTACAGTCATCAGTACAGATCCACTGATACCAGATGGAATCTGTCAGTCAATGGACGGTGGACTACTGGTCACCTTGGGAGACAAGGAATCAAATTATAACAAATTAGAGTTACACAGCAAATGTCTGGTGAGACACATCACAGTGACAGGTGACGTTACCCATGAGTATGAGTACCGGGAGGACTGTCAGACCAGACTGTTTACATTTCCAATTAGAATAACACAGAAAAGTAACAGTGATATCCGTGTTGTGAACGGAACAAGTAACACTACAGGTGAACTAGTGATTTTCTCTCCCTCTGGTCGTATGAAGTCTGTCTACCGTGGACAGAACCTGACAGAGGACTTTAATCCAACTGATGTAGTGTGTGACTCCCTCTGTAGCATCCTTGTTCCTGATATTAACAACGAACAGGTTATTATGTTGAGTCCTGATGGGGAGTACCTTCAAATCCTACTACTAGAAGATGTAGAGATCAGTCCATTTTCCATTTCCCTATACAAGTCTACGCTGTGGATAGGCTACTTGGAAGGACTTGTCAAAGTTTTTCAGTACAATTAAGATATGCTTAAGTTAGTACAAAAACATACAGTCTGTTTTAACCCGTTTCTTTTAAAGTACATGAGAAAAAAGAATAATATCACTTTTGCTGTCAATAATCAATGATCTTTGAAAAAAATTAAAATAATTTTTGACACGTGTTCGCTATATTTTGCTATTGTAAGTGTAAGACACATTTATACTGTATAATGGTCACTTGGATGCCTATATTTTAGAATGTTGATTCTAATTGTCTAAGTGCAGTACAATTGTCTGTTATTAAATGAAAAACAACTGTAGATTCATACATAGTAAAGACTTGATATGTTATCATATATAAGGAGTATTCATTCTTTATTTACAAGAGGCCAAAGGACAAACATTGTGACGTCATCGTTAAATTTAATGCATTTTGACACATTTCATTAGGAATCCCTTTCAATCATTCCACCGCATAAATATGGCTGAAATACTGCCGACTCGGAGTTTAACAGCAATCAATCAATCATTCCATTGATTTCTTGTAAAAATTGAATTGTATATTTTCTCCTAATGGAACACAATTAAATTGTAACATATTTACAAGTCTATTTAATTTTCAATTCCGAGGCTAGGTATCTTTGCTTGAAAGGATTTTTGATGAAGTTTCAGAATTCAATACAGATATGGTAATTCGAATTCATTTGAATTGCTTGTAATATTAAAAATATTCAAAACTGACATACAATTTTGAAGAAATGTGGTTTTCGGAGACCAAGTCTTCCAACAATCTATTGGAATTTCCAAGGGTATCGAATTCGATCCGTTTTTGGCAAACTTATTTTTGTATTTATATGAAGCAGAATTTGTCCAAAATCTTATATGTGAAAAGAAGCCACTTACAATTTGCTGATGACGTTTAAGAATAGCACTTAACCGGCTTCAGAATTGAAAACTGATCAAAATACCTCACGTTTCCTGATTATCGATTCTATGCAGAATTTATGCATATCACTGCTACGTTAGACATTTTACTTTCATTAAGTTTCATACTTGGGCACAATAGTGAAGGGCTGCAACACAACCAGGTTAATGTTTACATGTAAATAAATTCAATTTGTTCCCATCTCTGAGGTTTTGGAACTCTGAGTTTGCTCTGTACAGATTTTATATTGTTCAATAGACTTTTGAGCTAGCATACTGTTCATTTTATCCATATATTTCATTCAATATCTTTTATGCCTTAAAATAAACCTGTATTTTACATTTCGTTGCACCCTTTGTATTTCCTATAGAATGAATTTAAAGCCCTACTTCACAGTCTGCACACCACATACCTACATCATTATTAGGCAACAACAGACAAACATGGCTGAAATTACCTTAAAAGAATATCCACTGGGCTCTCCGCTAGTGCATATTGAAATGTGTGAATCCCATGAATTACCTATTGATATTATATGTGAGGACTGTGATGAATTCATTTGTGCCAGGTGTGCTAAAACAAATCATAGAGATCATGATTGGAACACTCTACGCACGGCAGCCACCGAAAGGAGGAGAGGTCTGCAGAAATTTCTGAAGAAGATCAAGGAAGAGGAAATGCCTGGGATTGATGAAAAGATAGCGAATGTTTCAAAAAAGATTATAGAAAACAAAGAAGAGTGTGGCTCTGAGATTAAAAAGCTACAGAAGCATTATGATGAAATAATGACCAGACTGGCAAAAATCAAAAATCGCCATGAAAAAGTGTTGAAAGACAATTTGGTTAAAAAGAATGACCGACTGAACCATGTGAAATCTGAGCTAAACGAAAAGAAGAGAAAAATTGTTAAAACCTTGGAATTCATGGAGGGGAACAACAGTGCCATGTCAGATTACAGCTTGATTGACAACCACAGAGAACTGACAAAACTGCTTTCTGAATTAGAGGTTCAAGTGACAAAATATGAACACTCAGTGAGATTTACTACAGGTGAAATAAATGATGACTTTCTTGAATCTTTGGTTGGAAGAACTTTAGATTTAGATGATGTTTATTTGGAGGAAACAAGCTCATTCAAATATGGAGACAGACGAATAATTTTTTTGAGAGCATTTTGTGAAGAGCAATGTTATTTAAGAAAATTTGAGTCAGCTAACACTGAACAAGTGAACAAAGAAGGCGAGAAAAAACATACTTTTAATATAAAACCTTTTGACAGTTTTATTAGTGATACTAATGATGTTTATTGTACCACTTTTATCAGCAAATCGATCACCTGTCTGTCACCATCAGGATCTGTCTCTACAATCATAAGTACAGATCCATTAGAACCAGGAGGAATCTGTCAGTCAATGGCTGGGGGACTACTGGTCACCTTGATAAACAAGGACTCACATCCTTACAAATTAAACGCACACAGCAGACGTCTGGTGAGACACATCACATTGACAGGTGATATCATCCACGAGTATGAGTACCAGGAGGACGGTCACACCAAACTCTTTACATTACCAGTCAGAGTCACACAGAACAGTAACAGTGATATTTGTGTTGTGAACCGTTTAAGTCGAACTACAGGTGATCTATTGATTATATCTCCCACTGGTCATATTAAGTCTGCCTACTGTGGACAGAACCTTTCTGAGGACTTTTTGCCAACTGATGTGGTGTGTGACCCCCACTGTAACATCCTAGTTACAGACCAAAATAACAGGCAAATCCATCTGCTGAGTCCTGACGGAAAGTTTTTAAAGTTCTTACTGACAGAAAATGAAGTTAACCTTCCATTCTCAATTTCTCTATACAAGTCTTCACTTTGGGTGGGATACTATGAAGGACTTGTCAAAGTATTTCAATACAAATCGTAAAATGCAATACACCTAGATTTGATTGAATCCATTTATACTAAATTAACAGGGGTATGAATGAGGGTCGCAAAACTCACTAAAATGTAGTTCTCGTATTCTTATCAAACAAATGCATTAACAAAATACATTGTAGCATGAAAAATGCATTCGAGTCAAAATTAAATTCATGGGTAAACCATGATTCCCTTCAGACATCAATAGGTACTGAGAAAAACTGTGATTTTATGTCGTGTATAAATAAAGTGGCAATAAACAAGAGTCTCTCATTTTCTCGGAGGTTCCAAGGAGTGCTCTGGGGTAACCAATTTACAAGTTATATGGATATGAATCTGAAACTCCGAAAATCCAATATTTATTTTTTTGCTGACGAAAAATCGGTCTTATATATTCTTGTGATACATTTATAGTTTGACGTTTATCTTTTTAAAAAAGAATGTTTGAATTAATTCAAGGAATTTTGAAATAAATTTTAAGACGGTTGGGTGGTCGTGGCCATATTCGAACTTAGTTGATCTCCTTTAGAAGAAGAACTCCACATAAAGATATACAAAAACAATCAAATTTAAAACTATAATGTATGTTTTTTTAAAAATACATTTTTGGTCAGAAAATAAAAAAATCACAAAAAACATAATTTACAAGATGATAATTCGTGTTACAATTGTTGTATTTACTGCCAATCTATGAAAATCATACCATGTTTCCCACTTTCGTTGATGCCAAGGTATACCGACAAACCAGAAGTGATTCCTGAATCATAATGGTCGAAATATTTAGGCGAGTAACATGCACGTTTATGCTGTTGCTTGTTTGAAGCAGAGGAAATATTCTTTAGCATATTAACTCAAAGATCATACCTATTATGCTAAAGAATCCATCAACATAGGAGATGGAAGCTGCACTTAGGACTATTTCCTGGTTATTGGTGTTTTCGATCAAAGGGCAACTACTCTATCATCTATACTTAAACCTAGAATAAGGCTTAATGAATTTAACAGTGAATCCCATAGGACTAAGTTAGGGTAACATTTGTGGTCGATCACATTTTCCCTTTTTTTTCAAATGATGAGTTGCATTTGGTCCTAAAGCATGTCTTGATAATAGATATTAAGTGTACATATTTTAGCTAGTAGTGTTTCCTAAATATTGTAGAGATCCTGTTTCTGCCCCAGTATTGACTAAATCTAACTTTCTTAAATCTAAATGACCACTCTTTTAATTAATCCTCATATACATGTAAACTCAAAAATTTATAACATCTAACAATGTTTGCTTTATGGCAAAATAGACCAACTTCCAAAACATTTAGCTATGGTTACTGTAGTAAAGTTAAAATTAAGTGAGTATAATTTTCAATTTACAAATCAATTTCTGACGCTAACCATAGACTTCTGAATGAATATCTAAATCAATCTACTATCCTCTGGAATAACTCTACCTTTTTTAAATAAAATATAAGTTCTCCAAAAACATTCTTATTAAAATATAATCCTTTTGAATAAGCGTGAAAATTCTAAGTATTTACAATCCTTTCTGTACGAAACATGATTGATTGTATGTACAGGGTGTTTCACAATATATATCACACATCTAAATGGTTATAGTCTGAATATCGAGACTGATACCAAAAATACCAAAACACCATAGTTAAGCATATTGTTCTAAAATTATTATATTGCATAGTATCGGGAAAATTATAGTAAACCATGAAGTAGTTTATGATATAACCAGTGCTGTCATAATTTCAGCTTTCTCAAAATTGTGTAAAACTTGCAGCAAAATTTTTTTTGTAAACTTTTATTATAAGAACCGTTTAAGATATCTTAAATATGTTACAGGGGTTATGATAAAAAATACCTAGATCAGCAATTACTGTCTATTTTTCTTATATTAATAATAATTAGAGGGTTTTAATTAAATTTTAATGTAAAGATAAAAGCCAGCTAAACCCTGCCTCCTCTTCACCCCACCCTACCCCACCCCCAAAAAATCAAGAAGAGATAAAAACAATATCAGAGTGAAGTCAATCAATGAGAAAACCTCATGAAAGTCAGATCTGAGTTTAGGGAGATGTGTTGTAACAATGCCAGTAAGAGTATTAGGAGTATTTCGAAATCTTAAGTTTGAGTAAAGTTTGTCTATACACACAAGATTCTAACGTTTAAAGTCAAATGACATTCGATGCAGGTTTACAAGATTGACTGAAATTAAGGAAGAGCAAAAGAAGTGGGACACCAATTAACACATACCGGCAGTTCTGAAACGACACATTAATTTAAATGCAACTTTAAATAAAAACAGATTTGCAATTCAGATGTTCTAAAAAGCCAAATATAAAAGAAGAAATGTCTCAAAAATCTTGAGAAACTTACAAAACAGTGATCAGAAATTTATAAGCATAAGTCTCTTAAGTTATTTAGGACAATGTTCAGAAAACACTTGGAGAATAACATTTTAGGATTTGTTGCCATAGTAACTAAAGAAGAGAATTTTCGATACTTCTGACTCAAAATATTAATTTTGAATATATGCTGATTAAAATGATATATAAAATGTATATGTAGCTTTTGTTATCATTTATGAAATCTGTCTTTAGATGTGTGACGTATATTGTGAAACACCCTGTATGTTATTTAACGTCCCTCTCGAGAATTTTCACTCATATGGAATGGAGAGTCAGACGCCACCACTTGTCAGTGGAGAGCTGCAAATTTTGTGCTTGGTACTCAGGACCATTGAGATGTGAGGGATCTTTTTTGTGTCAGCATCTACTGCGACACGGGACTTCGGTTTATACGGTTTCATCCAAACGACAGGTCTCCACGTCCCACAGTGGGATTCGAAAGAAAAATGAAGATATGCTTGAAAGACATGAGTGATTATATTAAGATAAATTGAAGTTGCAAAAAAGGTCACTGTGTCGACAATAAAATCTGTAAAATGATGACTTTGAACAAGATTATGTAACCTTTGTATCAACTATCATCCTCTTGTTTGTCAGTAGCCTACCTTGTTTTCGTCAAATTTCTCTGTAAAAATTATTTTTAAAATTCTAATCACAAGTGCTTTAAGGTCAATTTTGAAAATGCAAGAGTTCCTTCTTGACAACATTTACGTAGTCTTTTGTAACCAAGTCTTCCAACACACTGTTGAAATCATGACAGGAACTAATTAACGGTAAGCATTATTCAAAATTTGAATCTTCTACATGAGAAGAAGAAAACTCTTCATGTGACCTTCAACATTTCAATAATTATATTAACACATCTTAATCTATTAACAATGGTTACTTCCGTTCATATGACCCCTCCATATATTTCATTCAACATGATAATCATTGGTTTTAAATTGTCATTTTATGTTAGGACCTCACTTCTGTTTCTTTCTTCTTATTGATTGCAATTTTTATCGGTTCTTTTAGATACGGTATATAGAACTCGACACTGTGGGTACAGTCTGTTGTCTCGCTTAAAGTCATAATTTCGAAAGTTCTATGGTCGATACAATGACCTTGTCAGCAAATACAATTTATCATTGAGTCAAATGCTGACAGACGTTTTTCATATTCATTGTTAGTCCATTATTTATACTGTAACACTGAATTGACGACGGATTTTCACGTTATTTCCCGATCATGACAATGAACACAGGTCGGAAGGGGATGTTCACTCCTCCATGGCACCGGATCCTACATCTGATATTTTGGGGGTCCATGTTTGCTCTGGTCCTATTTTGTATTGTTTAATGGACTTTTGAGCTTAAATACTGTTCATTATCTCTATACAGGCCTATTTCATTACATATATACACAGGTGATAGGAAGCCAGTAGACTGTTGATCTGGTTGATTCCTTAACACACTGGGAATCTTCTCCACGCTTACAGCTTGTCAAGTGCTATCTGTTGACTGAGAAATGATTGTCAGAAACTCTTAAGAGTGTAACAGCTGTAAAGAGGGGCTGGGTACCAGGTCTTCCGTTTGTCAGTCTGGGGACTAGATAAATAAAAGAGGTCTACTTTACTTCTCAGTAGGAAAATTAAATCCCTGAAGCCTTTCTTTGAATGTTAGAGTCTTAAGCAAATAAAAGGCATATATGTTGATATGTAAGGCTATTTCTCTTGAAAACTTGATGAAAATTTTACATAAAGTCAATTTATATCTTTGAAAAAAAAAAAATTAAAAGGGACAGTTATAAAATAACATGCAATAATTTACAAAATTGTGCAGGTATTTGGAGTTTAACTTACATTGATATTAACTTTGTCGGCATTACATAAGATAAAGCGACATCTAAACATGTCAAAGAAGACTCGAAAAGAAGGTTTCAGGGACGTAAATATAACGTTTATCATTCAACAGTACATTGTAGCAACTCTTTGCTAGGTATTGCATTGATTTGTTGATAGTTAAATTAATATGTATTACAATCAGATTAAAAAAAAGAATAGGATTAAATATCTACAGTGTTTTATGTATTTTGCATTCCTTTCTTTAACAACATTTTATGCATAAATGTACGAATTATATCACATGGTTTGGTTTAAAAAAACATAATTCATGTCTTAAAATATAACAAAAATCTAGGAATATTTTAAAATGGGGAAAATATCTATATGTTATGCATGTACCTGTTTTAGTGTCTCATGTCTTTGAGACAGGATGCAAACTGATATTTCACATCCATGTGTGATAATTATTGTGTTCTTCGAGTAAGAAACTTGTAACAATAGATTTTTGGCTTCTTAATTTTAAACAATAATTGATTTTTGCGTATTACTTTTACTTACTCTTACGATTTTTTCCAGTGGCTGTTTGGTTAGTCGTAATTAATGTCTTATCTGCACAATGGGAAGCAATTTTAAAAATTAAAATAAATATAATTTTTAATTGCAGTCAAAGGAGGAGGTTTAAATATTACATTAAGAAATAGTCTTATAACGGCAACGGTTTGAACAAAAACGTGCATTTCTCAATATCTTTGCACACATTATAGTTGCAAA